GAAGAACATATAGCTTTACAACGTCGTGTTCATTCCTTAGAAGTTTTCTTGAGAGAATATGTAGTAGACATTAAATATTTGAAAGAATTGAAAGAAGATGGTGCAACGAGGGAAGTTGAAGGAAACGATATGCTTCCTGTCAATGTTAATTACAATCATTACAATAACAACAACGTCGCGTCACCTTACGGCATATCGACATATAACATACACAACTAATATCCGCATTCCCAATTTTTTTGCGCTACAACTTCTCCTATATAATTTAATATAAGGCCATGCAACTCAATTTTTCGGTTCATGTACATACATTGAAATTTAAAATCGACTCGGAGACCGGAGTTTATTAATGATTATTTTTTATTAATAAAAAAAGTTTATATATAGATATTATGCCATCTGATTGGTCAATCTTTAAGGGACAAGGCTGTGCATGCTAACCCCTACCCTAACTAACCCTAACTCTAACTACAGTAATTCTAATTGTGACTAATATGTGTGACAAATAAGATTTCGCCACTCAAAAAAAATTGTCTCCTGAATAAATAGTAAAAACGGAAACTTGAGGGTGTGATACAATTTGAAATATAATCTATTATAATCACGTGTCCGAGCTTTTTTTGATGGTATTTCTGGGGAAGATTAATAAAATCGGCATATCAGATTTTGTTTAAAAGAAAGCGGCGAAATAACAATACATATAAAAAATTTACATATGTAAAAGAAAAAAAACCCGGGTGAACGTGTCAATTTTACGGCCTAATCATACGATTCACATTTCATTTCAAAATCATAACTCCATCAAAATGCCTATTATACATGTAAAAATAAGTTACAATTCTAAAGTTTTGAAGGATTGGGAAGGTTTACCTTTTGAGAAAGAAACAAAAATAAAAGATTTTTTGGAAATATGATGATTCTATATTACCACCTGACTGGTGGGAAGCAGATTTTGAAGTGAAATTTAGCTCATCAAAAAATTAGTTGGAGAAAAAATTTCAGTACAATGTATTGCTTGGGAAGCTGCATGAAACTAATGAGTTGTAAAAAAGCTTTAATCTACCAATAAAATTACACTTTATAAGTCACATACATGATAAACTTTACTTTTTAAATATAAACTTTTTTTTGTTAAAATTTGCAAAAGTGACCCGGCCGGGTGACATGAACCGAAAAATCGAAGTTGCACGGCCTAATTAGTTTATAATAAATTTACATTTTTCAAAATTCTTCTCCCCATGTTAATGAAAATTTTTGTGACGAATAACGAAATTTGAAATATTTGAATTAAGCTCATTATTAATATAGTTTGAACGACTGACAATTGTTTTTGATACCAATGTTTGCCGCAGGAATACACATTTTTTTGAATATGTGATTTATTTACGAATGAATTTGTGCTCAAGATGTTTTATTATTTCAGATCAAATTTAATAGAATAAAGCAAGTAAAAAAATTAGATTACCCATAAAGAAAATTTTTTTATAATTTCTATTTATTTTTCTTACTATAATAACAACAAATAAAATAAAGTAATTCAAAAATATGTGCAAGCCACAATAATAGTTCAATCCGAATAAATTCGAATCAAATTACAAACCACATGCGGCGAAATGAACATAAAAAAGTCTCCGAATTTTTTCAAAATCGGGCACCTGACTATCCCGAATAGCATTTATAAGTTTTGTATTAAATTGATTTATGTTACCTTCATTTTCATTTGTTCGATAGTGGCGTATCAAATAAAAATTCATAAGCTATAGAATCACATATCCATAGTTATTAATTACATTATGATTAACCATAAAGTTTCTAGAAACACAGTTTACCAATAACACAATAATTAGCTATTTCGCCCTTGTTTTACGCAGTGTTAAATGAAGAATGTGATATTAGAGAATTATGCTCTAGAGAAAAGATAAGGAATTGTACAATATTAATGTTCTCTGTTTCTTTGTAACTCTGATTAGATGCTGAACTCAGTTTTTTTTCCACATATATTCTCATGAGCTTCAGTCCCAAGGTGACTGTTATCCACTAAATGGTCTAGGGATTTGTATTCCTATGTGCAAAATTTCTCTGGAATAATCTTTAAATAGCATTCATTGAGCCATTTTCTTGCTATATAGAGACACATTCTTAGATGTAATTAAATGATACAGCGTTTGATGCTTCACGTTTTTCTTCACCTAAAATGACTTAATAATTTCAAATGATAAAGTTCCTGATAAAATCGGAATTATTTCAAACATAAAACGTAATAATAAAATATTTCACCTTTATTTTATATGGATAAGTTAAGATTCAAATGAACATCACGCTCTATTATAAACACAAAGAAACTAAAATTCAAACTAATTATTCCTATCAGTATTGTCATTTTATAACATATCAATTCTGTAAAAATATAAAAGAAAAAAATAAATATGTAAAAGAAGTCTTGAGAACATTACCAAAAATCAGTTTGAAGATATAGTGAAGTATATATTAGAAAATTAAAAAAAGTTGTATAAAACTATACAAAATACTAAAAGAAAAATAAACTTCTTAGAAAAAGAAGGCAAAACAAAATACATACCTGTGACATGTAAAGCAAATATACAAGAAATTAAAACAGAAATAATCATTGATTCAAATGCAAAAGTAATAATAATAATAAAAAGATTAGCTGATAAAATATAATATAATATTGATGAACTATCTATATAAGTCTAAAACTATTAGGAAAAGAAAATTTAAGAGCTTAAAAACGATAAATATATGCAATTTTTCTTAGAGAATAACAGATGTATAAGTAATAAATTTACTAGACAAAATGTTTCTACTAAGGTCAGATTAGTTATGAAATAAAAAAACTTGTATTAATTTTAATGAAGAGATATTTAAAATAAGAAGAGTAAAGAAAGTGTGAAATTCTAATAAGATTTATAAAAAAAGATTATAATATTAAGAAAGAATATAAGAAAGAAAAAATAAGACAAATAAGTTTTTAACTAGATAATAAAAGAGAAAGTTACTTAATAAAAATTAAGGAAGAATATGAATATAAAATAGGAAAATTAACAAAAGAATAGAAAGAAAAATTCAATAAATTAATCAAAAAAAAATAAGAAAATATTCGTAAAAAATAAAATGAATTAGGAAGAACTAATATAATAAAACACAGAATAGACGTAAAAAATAAAAAATTAATCAAACAAGTAGCAAGAAGAATTTCACAAAAAGACAAAAAAATAGTTAAGGAAGAAATAGACAAAATGATCAAAAAAGAGTAATACAAGAATTAAATAATTCTTGAACATTTTCAATAGTATTAGTACTAAAAAAAAAATAGTAAAATATAATTTTACATAGATTACAGAAAATTAAACAAGATCACAAAAAAGGATAATCATCTATTATCAAAAATAGATGATACAGTAGCGATCATAAGTATCTGACCACCTGAGATCGTCCAAAATTATTATATAACTACCCTCTAAATTTTCCAGAAATATAATTTAATACAATACATGATCACCTGTAAATTTATAAGTGTCGATGATACAAAAAAAAAAATTTAGATAATCATCAAACTTTCGTTTGAAAAATGGAACTTTCTTTAGAGAAACGATATGAAATTGTCTTTTTATGTGAACACCCAGCTGGTCCAAAGTTTA